TTGCAATACTGAGTTAACTTCTGCCATCATGCAACTTAAAAGGATGTTGGAAAAATTGGAGAGGGTGCAAAAAAGAGTCACCACAGTGATTCAAGGACTAGAGAAAATTCAGTCTAGCTTATCAATCCCCTGCCCCCAAAAGGGGACTTGATTAGGGGGTAAGTAGTTTCATGTGGAGAGAAAACACTGGGAACCAGGGGGCACCCAATGAAATGAATAGGCAGCAGGCTTAAAACAAACAAAGGAAGCTTTTCTTCACTCAGTGCACAGTCAACCTGTGGAACTCCTTGCCGAAGGATGTTGTGAAGGCTAGGACTTTAACAGGGTTCAAAAAAGAACTAGATGCATATATGGAGGTTAGATCCATCAATAGCCAGGATGGGTAGGAATGATGTCCCTAGTCTCCGTTTGTCAGAGGCTGGAAATGGATGATAGGAGAGGGATCATTTGATTCCCTGTTCTGTTCGCTCCCTCTGGGGCACTTGGTATTGGCCAATGTTGGAAGACTGAATACTGGGCTAGATGGATCTTTGATCTGACCCAGTGTGGCCGTTCTTATGTTCTGATGGGTCTAATGGGAACTCTCCTCTATCTGCAAGAAGAATTGAAAGAACCAATTATAACCCGCTACATTTTGATTACATAAGTACCCACTGTAACTCAGCTTTATTGCAAGAACAGGGAGCAGGTTCAGTCTGGTTTGACAACAGAATAAATAAAGTTAGCCAGAATAAAAAACTGTCTTTACAATTACAAGACGACAGTTTTGAAGATTGACTCGTCATAAACCTAAACACAGTCTTATCCTACCAGTGCAGTTGTGTGGAGACAAACCTACCGATTTTGTCAGTACCAAAGTATATCCAGGCCACAAATCCTAGAAGCACCCCTGCTTTGACACTTATGGTATTACCCCGGCCCGCGCTGAACGTGCAGTGAGCAGCCTATTCAAAAAACGGGGTGCACTTCTGCTCCTGGTGGTTACCATCGATTTACTAAGCCGCTGAGGGGCGTTCCTGGTTTTTCAGCGATCTCTCCTGTTTCGTTGAGTACCGCTTCTTTGGAGCGGCCGATCCTTCTGTTACCTTCACTGTTTCTGTAAGTTGCGTCGTAGGCGTTTCAATTTTTCTTTGCGTCTTCTGCAGCAGGACTGGTTAGCTTCTATGGAATGAGCTGCTGTTCCCTACTCCGCCCTCCCTTCGGCTTTGCTCTCTCTTCTTCAGAGTGGTGGATTTTTATACAGCAGTTGGAGAATAAGTGATTTAGGAAATAGTGAACCTCTCTAGTCCGGAACTCTCTGGTCCGGCAACATCCGTGGTCCAGCATGATGTTAGTTAGCCAGATGTCCTCTTGTCATGGATGTGGCCATGTTTCCTGCAGTCCCATAAAGTTTGTTTACAGCCCCTGGTCCTGGCTTTCAGTGTGCTGTGCTTTAGCTCTGTTACCCCTCAATGTCCTCCAACAGCCCAGTTGGCAGAGGCAGTGTTGGTGATGCTGCTAGACAATATTGACCTCCTGTGGTCTGGAAAATTCTCTGATTCAGGACTGGTCAGGTTCAATTTGAGAGGGTCAACTTATAGTGTCCAGAGGGACCCTCCGATGGAGCTGTGTCATCAGGAACTCGTCCCAACATCTAGGAATACGTTGCTTTATTGGCTGGCCGTTAAGGTCTTCTGCTCCATTGCCCTTCCCAAACACTCAGAGGGGTATGTCCGTGGACTTTTGAAAGGTCTCTAGGATTTGCGCGTGTGCTTCCTGACTGCTGGAAACGGGGCCATTCTTCTTTTCCAGCTCTGTCAAGCAAACCCTGTGCTGCAGGGGCGATTTTCTTCCATTGAAAGCTTCATTCGAGGCTAGAGGTGAGACGCTTTCTATTGCCTTCCTTGGGAAAACAATTCGGCCTCAGCTAGTTGTTTTGTATTTCTAGCTTCAAGGTATCCGAATGTACCGCCTCACCAGGCTGTGGCAAAGGGCCTGAGACACACTTCAGGTTGTAGGGTGTATATAGGATGGCAGGTGGCAACACCCGCTGTAGATTTTTACCATATGTTCTACCACGGCTGTATGTATCCCGGCTGGAATAGAGACGGTGGTAACAGAATGTACTGGAATGTTGGAGGAGAACGTGTGGGCACTCCCAGAGAGAAGCAGAATGGTCTGAAAACTATGGAAAGCATTAACGGTCCGCTTAGTATTAATTGCCCCGCCCTCTGAAATCACTCCTGCTATTAACAAGTTGTCATTGTAACTCAGAGCCGGGGTTTCAAACGACGGGTCACGACCAGCAATGGGATGTCGGGCGCTGGGTCTCGTTGCCGCAGGGGGATCAGGTGAGCAGTGGCAGGGCTAAGGCAGCTCTCTATCTCTGCAGCACAGACTGTGCTGCGCCCCAGAAGCAGCTGCCAATAGGCCCGGGTTCTAGGGGCGAGGGGAGAGCACAGGGCCCCTGCCCCGAGCACTAGCTCCACACTCCCTTTGACTGGGAACCTGTTGGGGCCAGGAGAGGCAGGAAGCTCCCTTAGCACCCCCGCTGCACCACTGACCGGGAGCTGCTTGAGGTAAGCCCCTCCTGCCCCAGCTCTGCCCCCTCCCCCAAAGCCGGAGCCCCTTCCTACAGCCCAAAGCTCCTCCACAGCCCCACCCCGGAGCCCACACTCTAGTCAAAGCATGTTGGGTCGCGGCATCAACAATTTTCTTCAACTGGGTCATGAGGGAAAAAAAAGTTTGTAAACTGCTGACGTCGATTGATCTCCTTCCCCCGCCTCCGGGGTGTAGACCAGCCTTCAATGCATCTTACACCTGTCCAAGTCCTGAGTAGCTCCAGGGGAGATTTTAGGGCCTACAAGCATCCAAGGTGCCAGTACATCTGGCCCCGCCTTCGAACATTTGTGTGGCTAAGTTGTGCAGTGTGGAACATGTGTCAGCTGACTTAGATTCTGCTCCCTGTTTTGGCTGACAGAAGCCACACCTATGATGAAGTGAACCGCCAGGTCCGCTCCCACCGTGACGGCTATTTGCAAAACGGAGCAGAGAATCCTCTACTTGTCTCTGTTTGACGGGTGGAAGAGAGGACTCAGGCGGGATCACAGTTGTTCACAATGCCTGGAGCTGCTGTTGGAAGCACTAACCTGTACAGAGAACCAGACGGATGTGGGTATTTTTGCCAGCAAAACATTCACCCCTGCTTGGGGTAGGTGTTTTCAACACCACTGCTTAGGACTCCAGCTGGCATTGGGTTTCGCTAGCACAGAACAGGCCTCTTTCCCAGTAAATAGGTTCCTACAGACGCAGCCAAAGTCTCTGTTTTTAAGAGTGGGTCCATTCTGTGGGTAAGTGCTGTCTGGTTCTGTTTCCTGAATTGTGGCACTGCCTTTGGCGGTGCAGTGGTGTTGCCGAAGGGTGCAACTGCTCTCGAACGCATTGTTTTGGCTGCTGTTTGACCAGGCTCGGCTCATAAGTACAGCGGATTGAGAGTGTTGATCCTGGAAACTGCAGCGGCTGTGCATGGTTTCGTTTTTTTTGCCTCGCTGCTTTGTGGCATGCGTCCTGCTGGGATCCTGTGAAGGGCTGTGTTGTTCCCAAAGGAAGGAGGGAATCCGATTTCTTTACTAAGCTGAATGATCAAGATGAAAATCAGAACCTGTCTTTCAATGGAGTAAAATACAAAAATCAGACCCCCTTCTCCTAACGGGTTTGGGCACCCACTGCTCTTCCTGCTTCTGTGAAATACTCACAATCTTTCCAGGTCAGGCCCTGAGAAATTGCTGTTAATCAAAGCCCTGGAAATGTGGGGTTTCAAAATGTTTGTCAAACTCTATCCTGCCTGTCTTTTTTATAAAAATGGGTTTTACCTCTGAGTGAGGGTGGCATGAATCCTAGGCATTAATATTCCAGGTTTGTTGTCAGCAGGCAGGGTCTGTAATGTGTACAACATGGAATGCAACAGAGGGTAGGGTTTGGATTTTTAAATTTCAGTGTTTCCAAGTGAATAATTGCTCCCTTCATTATGCAGTTAGAGAGTCTGAAATAGAATGACGGATTCCTATCTTTCTAGTCAGTGTGTAATTACTGAAATCTGGCAGCAGGCAGAATATCCGTGATGGACCCAGCTGCTGCATTCCCCCACAAATCTGTGAATCGGATCTTTCACTTACTGGAAATGTACTTGGAGGCAGCTTCGTTCCAAGAAATCTTTTACTCCTTTGTTCCTCGCACAGCCACGAGAGAGCTTTTTTCAATGCAGCTTTCAATCCGCGGGAACAAAAACGTTCAATCGCTGGCTAGAAGTCTGTCTCTAGAACCTTGCTTTGCAATTGGGGAAGTCTTCGTGCAAGCTCTTCGCGGGGAGAAGCACAGACGGAGAGGTGAGTCTCAAAGCCTGGGGGTCCGTTGAGTTGGAGCAAGACTTGCGAAGGTGGCTGGCTGCTCCTCTTTCGGGACCCCGAGGGCCACAAGATTAAAATACACATTGGACATCAGGACAAGCACCAAATTTCAGACCCCATTGAAAGGCGGCAGCGGGGAGGTTTGTGTGTGTGTGTGGGGGGGTGTTGAATCTGGACACCCAGAGCTGCATCCAGTCTGCTGGCTGGGTCTGGACCTAGTTGCAGACCAAGTCGGGGGGGTAGACAATATTTTCAGTACCAATAGAAATCTCGGCTACTGAGATTCTGTATACAGACAAGGTAGCATCATTTGGGCAGCAACAGCGTAGGTGGTACAGGTCCGTCACCCGACTGTCTTTCCATGGTGTACAACCAGACAGGCTCAGAGAAGAAAGGATGCCTCCTCCATTTCTAGCTGTCAGTCGGGACCTGCATAGACCATACAGAATAGGCAAAATTCGGTACCACCCAAATTCCACAGAAGTCTCCAAGAGAACCCAGACTTTAAGATCTCACTGCTGGGTCCTTACCTCAATATTACACTGGGCCTGCGTCATGCAACACCCTACCTGGCCGCCATTGGGAAAGTGAAACCCAAAATGAGCCTTTTTAACCCTGTTGCTACTCCCTATGGCACATCTCGTGTACCAGTTATGTAATCCTGTCCGTACTGTGGTGGGGCCCTTCTTACCCCATGGTAGGGTGCCACCAAGCCCTGGTCTACACTAGGGAATTATTTCGAAATAATCCCCCTTATTTCAAAATAATAGGTGGCACATCCACACTGCTAAGCCCGTTATCATATATATAGTAGCCCAGTGTCTGAGAGTCTGTAATGCCGAAATGCTGGCTGTTCCCTCTGGGGGGCGCTGTTGCCTGAAATGCTGGCTGATCCCTCTGGGGGGCCCGTGTTGCATGGAAGTGCGGGGCCCAAACGCCTACTTGCGCCACTTGCTCCCCCGCGGTGGCCCAGCTGAGCGGCACAGAAGTCAGCCGAGAGCCACGGCAGAAGGGGAAAGGGAGCGGGGCGGTGACTTACATGCCCAGGGGGTGGGCCTTGACCATGTACGTCACCACCTCGCCCCCCCTTCACCTCCTGCCATGGCGCTCGGCTGACTTCTGCACCGCTCAGCCAGGCCGCCGCATGGGAGCAAGTGATGCAAGTGACCGTTTGGAGTCCGCGGTCCCCCGAGGGAGGGGGAGGAGAAGAGAGAGACGGAGAGAGAGGCAGGAGGCGGAGGAGAGCTGAGGGGGTGGGGAGGCAGTAGGAGGAAGAGAGAGCGAGCGAGAGACGGGAGGCTCAAGAGAGAAGACCGACATGGAGGAGAGACCTGAAAATCCCGTCCTATGACGGACTAATTGGCTAGTTGTGAAGTAACAGGCTGGTTATTTCGAAATTGGTACTCCCGCTTTCCTCGGGGAATAGCGCTTATTTCAAAATAGTTATATCGGAATAGCAGTCGTGTGGACACTCCCCTGCTGCTATTTCGAAATAACGACTCGCTGGAGTCATTCAGACTGATTACTCCCCCGTGCTTCCTGGGGCTCTAAGTTAACAGAACCTGCCTCGGGCTCATTTCGAGGTTCCGCCATAGTGGGGACACGCTAGCTCAATTTTGTTAGGTTGGGAGTGATTGTTTTCAATTTAGTTATTTTGAAATAACTTCCTAGTGTAGACATACCCCAAGGTGCCTCAAGAATAGAGGCCAGTTGCATTTAATGCATAGGGGGCCCAGGGCAGGAGGATGTGGGGGTTCAGGAGTCGGGGCTGGGGCTGGGGGGGGCAGTTCAGGGCTGAGGGATGTAGGAGTGAGTGGAAGGGGCAAGGGTACCATTTCAGGAGGGTGAGGGAGGGGGGCTGCAGCCGCATGTACCAGGTCACTGCTGCTCTTCTGTCTCTTCCGCTGGCTCTTCCTCAGGGAGCAAAGGGAAAGTTCACATCCGGCTGCGTCCCCCTCTGCCCTCCCCTCCGCAGCCCAGAGCAAGAGGGAAGACTGAAGCTGAGCACTTTCACTGCGGTAGCCAAGTACCCCTGCTGGCCTGCTTCTTCTTGCTGGGGGCAGGGGGCGGGGAGTGCACCAGCTTCCTTTTACCTCCAGGTCTCGAGGAAAAAATAGGACCCCAGTATGGCCTCTATCAAGAGAGGACAAAGTAGCAGAAAACAGGACTATTCTCTATAAAAGACGGGTGGCCGCCCTACCCCCCCATGCGGCTTCCCCATGCGGCTTCCCCACGGCGTTGGGGATACCTACATGGCTTTGACGTCGAACGCCATTGACAAGGGCCGTAGAGCCTCCAGGTCTCGAGGAAAAAATAGGACCCCAGTATGGCCTCTATCAAGAGAGGACAAAGTAGCAGAAAACAGGACTATTCTCTATAAAAGACGGGTGGCCGCCCTACCCCCCCATGCGGCTTCCCCATGCGGCTTCCCCACGGCGTTGGGGATACCTACATGGCTTTGACGTCGAACGCCATTGACAAGGGCCGTAGAGAGCTCAGGGGGGGGCTGCCGGAGCAGGTGGGGAAAGCCGTTGCCAGGGACGCAGCGGCGGAAAAGCTCTCACACTTCATCGCCCCCGGCGGCCGCTTGCCTGCTGTTCCTCGTCCCACCTGACCGTGCGAGTAGAAACCGGTTCCGACAACCCCTGCGGGGCGAAGCGTGAGACCGAGCGGGAATAATTGCTCCTGACAGTCCATCGCCTGCCGAGGAGGCCAGCGCCTCGCTCCAGTCTCGCGAAGATTTAAAATCCCAGAACGCGGCATGGGACTTCCTGGGGAGCGCAAAGGGACAACAGCAACGCACGCACCCGCTCGGACTGCACCCTCACCTGTCTCTGCCACTGGGGCGGCTTCTCTCCGGCTGAGGGCGTCGGTGTTTCAAAACACCCCTTTCTCCCACAGGCAGGAAGCACAAGATGCTCCCTTGAATTTCCTCAGCCAGGGGACCTTGCAGCCTAGCAGGCTCCATAACTAGGGATGTGAAAGGCTCACCGGTTCAGGGAGATGGTTATCTGGTGATGCTTACTGGTTCCTGTTAACCGGTGGGGGCTGGAGCAGCTCCCCACCTGCTGCCCCTTTCCACGCCAGGCCCAGGCCCACCACAGGCCTTCCTGCCTGCCCCCCCTTTAATCGGATAACTGGTTAAACATCACATTTCCATCCCTACTCCATGGCTTTCTGCCGCTTTCTCTGGGCAGGCCAAGCAGGCCTGCTCACCCTGCCAGACCAGGAGCTATTCTCGTTAGAACATCTCCGAGGGGTAGCCATGTTAGTCTGCAACTTTAAAAAACAAGTGAGCCTGTGGCACTAACAAAAATATACATGGCATCATCTGAGGAAGTGGGTTGTGCCCATGAAAGCTCATGATGCTATATATATATATATTTGTTAGTCTCTAAGGTACCACAGGACACACAGAATTGGAGGCGGCTGTCTAGGAAGGAGTCCTGCGGAAAGGGCGTCTAGGTGTCCGAGTGGACCACAAGCTAAACATGAGTCAACAGTGCGATGCTGTTGCAAAACAGGCAAACATGATTCTGGGAGGCATGAAGAGGAGTGTTGTGAGCAAGACATGAGAAGTCGTTCTTCTGCTCTACTCTGCGCTGGTTAGGCCTCCGTTGGAGTATTGTGTCCAGTTCCGGACACCGCGTTTCAGGAACGATGTGGAGAAATTGGAGAGGGTCCAGAGAAGAGCAACAAAAATGATTCAAGGTCTAGAGAACATGAGCTATATGTGAAGACGGAAAGAATTGCTTGTTTAGTTTAGAAAAGAGAAGGCTGAGAGGGGACATAGGGGTTTTCAAGTATCTAAAAGGGTTGCAAGGAGGAGAGAGAAAAATTGTTCTCCTTGGCCTCTGAGGATAGGACAAGAAGCAACGATCTTAAATTGCAGCAAAGGAGGGTTAGGTTGGAAAACTTCCTAACTGTCAGGGGGGTTAAACACTGGAATAAATTGCCTAATAAATATCTCTATCACTGGAGATATCGAAGAGCAGGTTGGACAGACACCTGTCAGGGATGGTCTAGATGGTTCTGGGTCCTGCCGTTAGGGCAGGGGACTGGATTCGATGGCCTCTTGAGGTCCCTTCCAGTTATGGAATACTAGGTCTACTTGTTGGGCTGGCTGGCTGTGGAGACTGACGTAAGAGAGGTGACTGGCGTGGACCGTAGGATGCCGCCAAGCTAACGTTTCTGGTTGAGAGGCGTGTGTGGATAGCAGTGTGGGCTACCAGTCCATGATTCTGGATGGTGCTTGTATTCTCCCTTCCCTGCCCCCCAAGAGCTCCTCCTTTCTCCAAGTGAGGAGGCGCGAACCTTTCCTTTGCTCCGAAGAGCGGCTGAGGCTCTTGCGTACGTGGGGCAGCAGGGCAGGGAAATCCTGCTAGCCAGAGATCAGACTTCTTGCCTCGCTGTTGCTAGCTGCTAAAAGGCACCAACAGGCGCTGCGCGGGGGGATGGTTTCTATGGCTCTGCAGAACGGGTTGGAGATCGGGGGTGCTATGAGCTAACTGGGAGACTCGTCCGTAGCTTTGGCTTCTAATACCGTGGGCCCACGGGACTGCAATCTGAGCCCCCTCCCACTCATTCTTACACCACCATCCCTGGAGGTCGGGAAAGGGCCACGTCCCCATTTGCCACCAGCAGGTACTAAGTGAAGGGTCGGTGTGGCTGCATTTCAAGTTGGGGGCAGAAGTTCCACCTCCCGGAGGCAGCCCGCCCTGGCTTTTTGCTTTTGACTTACTGCACCAGTGAGCCACTAACTTTTTTGTTTGCTGAATAAAACCTTAAGGCCTGATCTGTACTTGTACCCGTCAAGTTCTTTGTCTTCACTCCAAAAAGTGTGAGCTGCCACACGCTGCTTTCTGCTGGTGGCAAATTTACCATGTCATCTGCATACCTTTGGCATATGCAGGTTAAGCACAGAATATCTAGTGTTTTGTGGCACCGAACTGGCAGAGGAGACAAGAACTTATTATTTG